CAGTCGCTCGCCGGACTGCCAATCAGACATGCTTCTGAGAGACATTTCCTATGCGAGCCTCTAATCGTCTCGCAACTCGCCCAATAATTACGTGTGTCAGCCATGCCGTTATCTTTCCCCTCGGGTCATACCTCTATATTGAAAAATGTCCCGGCGTGGCGTTTCGCTTTGCTTGGGCACGCTTGGATCAGACAGTACGCTATATGCGGCAGCCCTGCAGCCTCTCCTACCCCAATATCTCACATGTCTGACTGCTGCAAACTCAATACACAGGGTCCCCTCATGCACAAAGCAACTGTGTTTTCTTTGCTCACTAGATTAGCAACAGCCGATCTTTCTCTATCTAAAAGCACGCTAGAATAAACCTTTCCAAGGCCGTCGAGTTGCGCGGGATGCGCCGAAGCGGACCTCCTCTGCCCATACTATCGCCAATTACCGATACCGAGAACACGGTAACCTCGGACCCATGCCGCCATGTGCAGCTCTGCCCCGTACCTCCCTCTTATCGCAACCATCTCCCTCATCCGCCCCATTCCGACTTTTTATTACAATTTCCATCACACCTTCTCTATCAAGATCAGCGAATCTGCCCCGTCGGTTCCTCTTCCGATCGGCTCAAAAGTAGCCCCGTATGCTGGATGCAAACGTGATCGTCCCTGGGTGTCTCGCCCTACGATAGCACCAATCTAGTTGTGATTTGCAAAACTACATGACCTAGACATATACATTACAACCGAGCATCTGATACACACAGAAATTGCGCTGTTAGAGAGTAGAAGATCCATCTGCTCTGACATGACCCACAAAGGCAGGATGACAGCCGGCGATAATCCCTGGCCTGGTGAGCGAATCACCACCAGCTCCAGGGTTGCAAGCTCTGTGTATGATAGCGCTATGTTTCGGCACAATCCAGCCATCGACCTGGAAGAACGACCAAGGCCTTCAAATCATTGTTCAGATGGCAAAGCAGTTATTAGAACAGAAGTATCAGCTAAGCCATGACAAGATCGTCATCATCATCTTGTATTCTTTCGACAAGCGGGAGATGCGCAAGCGTGTGGAGACAGCGGGACTCAGCATCAGGGTATGCACAATTGGTTCTGTCCAGGGTAAGAAGTGTCCCTGTACAAACTGCACATGAGACACGCTCACCGACTTTTACCCACAACATTAGGCCACGAGCGCGATGTTGTCTTCGAGCATTTCCCCGCTACCCACTAAGAAAGCAAGAGCCCTTGGATTTTATGAGCGACGACCAGTGCGTCAACATTGTGGTGAGTAGGTCCAAAGAAGTCATGTCCATCGTGGGATATCACGTGCGGTGGAGCCACCAGAACAGCTTGTTGCTCCTTGGTGAGGTCATCCACAAGCCCATGTGTGTCCCTTGGAAGTCCTAGTGCTTTGCTTCAATGCTGTTGTGGAGATGCGCTGAAATTGGGGCTCCAAGAGTACAATTGTCATATTGACCGGAGAAGTCTGCGGGTATGGCTAGCAAGTCCAGTGGATTTGATTCGTGGAAGATCCAATATCTCTATTTACATGTCTATTTACGCTACGTTTGATATACAATCTGGTCATCGTGCCAGCACCATACCGTGCTAGGTGCTTTGTATGAATGCTATCCGGAATTTGGCGGTGTGAAGACAAGTGATACGTTCGTTATACAACCCATTCCCCCTAGACAAAAAGAGTCTACGAAGGTACACCAACAACCTCAAACTGGTAGTTGCACAGCGGCTTCGAGTCCGTAACCTCAATACTTCCATATCCACCGCCTACCATGGTACTCTCGTCCCAAACCTCCAACTGCACTTTTCCTGGAATCAGCTTCTCGAGCCCGGTGAACTTGAACTTGTTGAAGCCAGGGCGGAGATTCGTCTTGTTCAGCTCCTTGGTGCCGACATTGACAACCGCGACGAGGTTCGTCTTGCCTCCGGGGACGAGCACGACGCCGGACACAGCATCCTCGGCGGCCTTCGCAATGTCTCCCGACTTGGCTACGTCGTCGTCATAGCAGGTACCGCCGACTGTAAGCGTATGGTGCCAGAAAGTGCCCTGAACGGCCTTTCCATTAGTGGGACGCATGTTCGCTGTTGTGCGGTCGCCCCTCTTCCATGCGGCGATGAAGGGTTGGAGAATCTGCCAGTAGCCTGTATGGTCGTAGTCATCCGTGAGAAGCTTCGTCCGGTTGTCCAACGGATCTGAGTGAAGCTTTCCCATGTAGTGACCCTCACCGGCATCGTTCCAGGTCTGGAGCTGTACCATGTCTGGTTGCAAATCGAGTATCTGACCAAACCTGTTCTCAAGGTTATCTTCGCCACGACGGTACCAGTTGTCCTTGTTGCTGAGGTGCTTGTATTGTACTGGCGAAATACCCATCATGAACAGCTTGTTCGCTTTATCGGCGGCGGTCTGGAAAGTACGGTCTGTCGCAGCAGATACGGTGACTTTTCCATCTTGTGTTGCAGGCCATGAATTCCAGTTGAATACGCCATCGAGAGCAGTGCGGCTGTTGAAGAAACTGGTGCTGGGATTGTAGATCTCAGAGAAGCCGGGCACGACTAGCACGTTGCCAACTTTGCCCTTGAACTTGTTCCAGTCGTCATCTGTAAAGTCCTCACCGCCGAAGGTAGACAGGAGAGGCTTGTCGGTATTATCAGACGGGTCTCGCATCTTGAGATAAGAAGAACGAGTGCTGTAACCCTTGAAGTAATCGGCGTAATCCATGGGACTTTTCAAAACGCCATGACCATGGTCAAAAGAAAAGAATAGACTGAAGCCGCCAATGTCGTCGGCATTATTGAACATGTAAGTTACGGTGTCATTGGACCACCACTCGAATTGGTCTGGATTTTGTTAGGAAGGCGTTGAGCTTGCATTCATAAAAGTCTGTACCAAAGTTGAGCGCAAAGCCATCCAAACCAATATTCTTTGCGTCGAGAATATCCTGGCGGACATCGTTATTTTGAAGGCCACCCACCATGTAGTGTGCCACTCTGCGCAAAGATCAGCATACGTAAACGTCCAATACCAGGTGACTTACATCGGCCTGTCGACGACAGAACGTGGTGTAGCCCGACCAGCAACAGCGCTAGCCATAAGGCCGGCGGCGAATGTAGAATCAAACCGCATCTTGGAGCTTCAGATTCTCCTACAAGTACCAAATCAGTGATGTGGTTGACGGTGGGCTAGGTGGTTGTGCCAGTCTACTTTATAGCCTCGATGTCGTATTTCGTAGTGTGCCTCGAAACATGCGTTTGCGTAAGGCCACCGACTACACAGCCCGTGGCAGCCTCGCCGTTCAGAACAGTGGCGGCACGAAATGAAAACTAGGCCTGCCAGCAGGGATGTTCGTTCAGACGGTAGCATCGTGGTCCCGCTGGCTTTCCACTTTATCCGAACAGCCCTCCATGAATATTGCGCGAGGCCTGTCCCGCTCTTCGCGCTGGTTCAGCGATCATTGGCCTACCAACAATTCACCTGTTCCCTAATTGTTCAAGGACGAATTCGCTGATTGCAACGAATGCGAAAAGATTGCAAGGACCATTCCGTGCATCTCCGCAACGCCACGTGCAATTCGGGCCACCAGCTGTGGAGACGCTTAGAGGACCGTGTACGTTGGTAAGGCATCATCGGCATGGTTAGACCGCGATCAATGAGCCGTCTTGCTAGCCTTTTGTTCTAAAAAAACGCGTCGTTGCATGATGTGTTACGCGACGGGCCGCGACGTGGATGAAGAAGGCAGATCAACCCAATCAGATTTGGTACTAACGTTGACGCCTCTTGGTACCTCGGTACTCTCCCGCCTCGCCGTCCTCATCCACTACGGTCCGCTGTAATAATAGGGTCCAGCAAGTCCGCAAGAAGGCCATCAGACCATGATGTCGTGTTTCTACGCGCCAAATGCAAGGCGGGTCGTAAGGGCGCACATAACTCAACAATTGAGCGAGGGGTATTATCCAGAACAACTCTGAACGGTGGTGAATACGAACTCCATCGATCATCAAGACATCATCCCAAGTCGCTTCATTTTTAGATTGATGTGATTTGATCAGCACACGGTAACAATCGTGTCAATTGAATATGCCTACTAGGTTGAGTACGATCATCCAACCTGTGCTATTCCATCAACACAACATCCTTCTTTCACCCTATCGGCCTACTGTTTGTCTCCTCTCTCACCTAGCCCCTCTTTCCCTCCTTGCACCTTCGTCGCGCCTCCAATTCCTGTCGTCCGAGTGGGCTGCGCCTGATGGTCTGGTTGCTTGGCCGGATGATCGTCTCCGCTCTTGTTCTCATCTTTAGAGGCACTAGACTGGTGATCCGTGTTTTGCGTGTCCGAACGCATCTTCGCGTTTGGTGCGGCAGAGGAGTTTTCAGATGGGTCCGGAAGGTTGGAAGCAGGATTCGGCGTGTCCATCAACTTTGCGTGGCTGGGTGTGGTAGTGAAAGCGCGCAATTGGGATGTGATTGGGCGTTGGAAGGCGCGCAGACGAAGGCTGATTGACGACATGGTGGGTATGTTGACGCTTTACGACCTGATGTTATTGCTGAGAATATCTTGAGAGGAATCCACAGGTAAATAGGCTTGAGAATTGAACAATCAACGCCTACAAAGTTTGACAAGTGTCAGAAGCTCGGTTGTTGCAAGACGGATATGTGATGTCATTGTGACCGCTACGGCAGTGGCGAAGATCCGCAATTGCCCCTGGAGTTGCGAGAGCACAACTCGGCATCCCTGAGCTAGTTCTACGCATGCTTCGTGTGCAAACAGAAGACGAAAGGTGCCATGCGAGCAGGTGCCTCGCCATGCCAGCCAGGTGTTGTAGCAACACGTGCTTCATGCATTAGCGTGCCGACTACGCCTCATTGGGCGACGCATTGGGCTCCTTCCGTACTCGAGCTATTCAGAGAGCCTTGGGACGACAAATTGTAACGCCGACAAGGGAGATTGGGAAACCAGACACGCAGTTCGACGTCACACCATCTCGTCTGTTGAGATGCGAGAATTTGTGCTTTTTGGTGATTCGCTCACCGAATGGAGCTTCAGCGAAGAAACGCAAGGCTTCGGGCTTTTTCTTAGGCAACAGTATCAAGACAAAGTACGGATCGTCAACGAAGGTAGGTCTCAGCAAATTCTCTACGATACTTTTCAAATCCTACTTAGACATTGCGTCTACTATTCGTCATCTTCGTGCCGACCGACAAGCATCACCTAAATGGCCATGTCTGATATGTTGCCCGAGATCGTCTTGTACGGCGCTTCTATGACAGAGTGGAGTTTCAGAGAACAGACACAGGGTCTTGGGTGGTTTTTAGAAAAAAAAGTATGGGGGCAAGACGATGGTGGTGAATGAAGGTATTATGCACAGTTCCGTTGGTGTTTGTAGCGAAGTATAGATGAGCTTTAGATCGTATGCTGACTGACAACAGGCAAAGCAGGGTACGCAGCTTAGTTTGCGTTCATGGCCTATATATTGACAAATTCTGTAGTTATACATCGACCCATCTCAAGGATGACTTCACTCGTATAATCCACCGCGCAACGTCCCCAGGCGCGGCACCAACCCTCCTGTTCACAATCTTCATCGGCGCAAACGACGCCGCCATGGTTGGGGAGACGGAGTATGTGCCTTGGCCCATCTTTTCAGCAAACATTCGAGGCTTCCTCGACACCATCCTTAGTGAGGATGCTATGGAAAATACGAAGATTTTGCTGATCACCCCTCCTCCCATTAACGGATCTGTGGTCGAGACTGGAGAGAACAAGTCTGCAAGGGAAATTGAGGACATCAACCAATGGAGAAAGGAAGGCCCAAGGTACAAGACGTACATGAGCAAAAGGAGGTATGCAGATGGTATCATGCAAATTGCGAAAGAGTACGAAAAGACGGGGAGGGTCGTTGGGCTCAATTTCTGGCAAGACCTTGTGCATGCAGTCGTCACAGAAGAGGGATGGCAGTACGATGAGCAGGTACCACCAGGATGCGGTCTGTTAGGCGCCCAGTCGTTCCCAACAGGGTGGTTTACAGATGGGCTGCATCTTGATATCAAGGGATACAGAGTACTGAATAACGCATTGTTGGAGTTAGTGACTGCAAAGTGGCCAGAGCTAGCACCCGAGGCGCTGTAAACCTGTATGCAATCATGCATTCGTTCTACTGGGTATCTGATCCGCTTAAACCACGCTCAACCCCTGTTCAAAGTGTTTCCTGAACCTTTGGGATTCGCCTCTACATACTCATCCCATGCTCGCTGCTTCATCGTCTCTTCGTCTGCTGCAACAAGATCGTCCTCATTTGGCTCAGGCTGCATCTCGGACTGGGGGCCTCCACCCTCTATCATGCCACCTCGGCGCTTCTCTTCTTCTAAGTATTCGTCTATTGTCATTGTCGGTAGACTGTGGTCCGGACGGAAGACGTTCTTCTTCAGGGTTTGGCGGCTGTCCAACAGCGTAAAAGGCCGCATGGGTTTGCCGTCACCGCTCAAGATAGGCCCGGAGTACCGCAGCCCAGCATACTGACCATCCAGGCGCTCAGAATAACCGTCTTTATCTCTACCGTCCTGTCGGCTGTCAGGCGCTTGCTGTGCCTGTCCCTGTGGGGGCGTGGGTGGAGCCAGCGAGATGATGTGCAATTCTTGGGCCATCGACTCCAGCGAAGCAAACGTCTGATGCACCATGAACGCCAGGTTGGTCAGATGCAACTCTCGTACCACTTGCTCATCCTGTTCGGCAAGTTTGGGATTTTGTCGCAGGTACTGTTGTCGCATGTCTTAGCTCCAGATTTGACCCGTAAAAGCAACGTTAGCGTGACAACGTACCTCGAGTTTCCGCTTCAGCTCCTTCTCCTCTCTGAATCGGGAAATCTTTGCGTCCCGTCTCGCTGCGGCATCCCGCGTGTTAGCGGTGGAGAAGTTGCCCTTGTCTTCCGTGTAGGCTTCGAAGAGCTTCGCGTCCGCCTTGCCAAGCACATCATAGGAATCTAGGAGCTTGAGGAATCGCTCATAGTGCCCCCGCGCTCGTAGCAGGTTTTGTTTTCGAAATGATATATCAGTGTTGAAGATCTTTTGTATGAGTTCTGCCATGTGATAGTTTATCGCCATGTATCTAAATGGGTAAGCGAGGGCCATGCGCACGGGATCGTGGGGTGGGTCGGAACACGCACTGTAGATCAGACGACGATATGTCTTCTAGAGTCTCGTTCGGGCTGAACAGCGACACCTGCTCCGATATCTTTAGGCATTCTTCGTAGGTGGCGATGGTCGCGCCGAGGTTTTCCTGGTAGGTGGGACTGTTGGCTTCGTAAGAAGAAGAAAGCTCTTCGCGCGCCCTCTCCGCCTTTAAGAATAGTCCCCGGAGACTTTGCGGTTCGTTCGACATTGTGCAGAGGTTCTGACTGAGGATCGTGACGATGTTGAGGAAATGGTAGTGGGGAGACACGTGAGAGCGTGAGTTGGTGTTGATGAGTCAGCATCGACCCTTCCCAAACCGCGTACCCCGCTATCGCCGCGGGTACACCGCGCACTCCTGAAAGCGGCGGCTTCATGGTGACAGACATTTCTAATGCCAAGTTCTCCCGGCATGTTCAAACGGTCACGACTGCCTGATAGGGGCAGGACGAGCCAATTTGTCTGAGCACCCGTTGTCGGTTACGTGCATCGTTTGCTTGCTCACGGACGCGCAACAGACTGCGCAAATACTGGCAGCGCCCTTGTCCTCGACCGTTAACTGTGTCCATGAGAGTATCTCCTCTCTCTCACCCTCTGAATCTCGTGATAAGCTTCAATTAACCCTTTGGCAACCGACAGTATGGTGGATGCCACAAGCCAATCGTGGGTGACAATCGAAGAGCAACAAGAAGACTACTTCTCGTTCGAGGAGACATTGGCGTCTTCCGATTCTGAAGACGAAGACAATAAATCCAACGAGGCAAGGCGTCAAGATAAGGATGAAGACTCTGATGTAGACGCTGACATTGCGCATGCGCATGGCCCAAACACAACATCAGAGAGGCGCAGAGCGCAGAACGAGATCTTGAGAGCCTTTGCTGCTAACATCAGTTCGCGCTTAACGCAGAAGGAAGTCGACGATGCTGCCGCAAAGACTGCCAACGAAGAGCAGCTTTCGATCCGCGATATCCTGGCAAAACAAGATGGCACCGCTCGCATCACGAACCCACGCGACTACCAAACCGAACTGTTCCAGAGAGCCAAGAGCGAGAACGTGATAGCAGTGCTGGACACGGGCTCCGGCAAGACCCACATCGCAACTCTACTCCTGCGACATGTCCTAGATGGCGAGCTTGAATATCGGGCTGCAGGCGGCATCCCAAGATTGCGTTCTTTCTGGTAGACTCAGTCAACCTCGTCTTCCAACAAGCAAATGTCTTGCGGTGCGGTCTAGACCAGAGTGTAGAGGGTATATGTGGCGCTATGGGTGCATCGCTATGGTCGAAATCGACCTGGGAGAGTCACTTTCAGAGTAACATGGTGATAGTATGTACCGCCGAGGTTCTCGTGCAGTGTATGATGCACTCCTTCATCACCATGGCCCAGATCAATCTCCTCATCTTTGACGAGGCCCATCATGCAAAAGGCAACCACCCCTACGCCCGTCTGATGAAGGACTACTACGTTCATGAACCGAAGCTTTCTAATCGGCCTCGTATCTTTGGGATGACAGCTTCTCCGATCGATACACGAGGGTTATCGATCGATCACATCAGAAACGTCGCGAATGACCTTGAGAAACTACTCCATTCCAAGATAGTCACTACGTCTGAGAGTGTTCTCGCTTCGAACAGTATCAGCAGACCCATCGAGGAGATAGCGGTATATGAACGGCTGCAGGACGAGTGTGAGACGCCCCTCCATCAAAAGATAAAAGCCAAGTTTGGAGATATATCGGCGTTCAAGAAATTGTTCATCGCATCCAAGCACCACGGCTCCGAACTAGGTCGTTGGGCTTCCGACATGTATTGGTCTTTCGCTTTCACTGATGAGCAGAGTCGCAAGCTCGAGGATCGTGAGCACCTTAAGCACAACAAGATTAAGCAAGATGGAGCCGCGCAGGAGTGGGACGCTCAGTCCAAACGCTTACAGGAGGCGGCCACATTTGTACAACAGTTCGACTTCGGTTCGTGCGCCCTTAGCGACGAAGATCTGAGTTCAAAGGTTCTTAAGCTTCGTCATTGGCTCAATCTTTACTATGAGCGCGATGATGGAGCTCGTTGCATCGTCTTCGTCACGCAGCGACAGACCGCTCGCCTGCTTGAGCTCATCTTCTCCCAGATCGGCGGACCAAACCTCCGTTGCAGCGTTCTTGTCGGGGTCAATAATCGTGTAGGCGAGCACAATATCTCCTTACGGAACCAGATTCTGACAGTCGCCAAATTTCGTCGCGGTGAACTGAACTGCCTGTTTGCCACATCCGTAGCAGAGGAGGGACTCGATATTCCACAATGCAACCTTGTGGTACGGTTCGATCTCTACCGCACCATGATAGCATACGTGCAGTCTCGCGGTCGGGCAAGGCATCGTAATTCCAGGTACCTCCATATGGTCGAGGCTGGCAACGAAGATCATCAAAGCCGGGTCCTTGATGTCAAGAGCGACGAAGACACAATGCGAAGGTATTGCAAAGCTCTTCCCCAGGATCGTCAAATCGGCGGAAATGACGTTGACTTGCTATCGTTCGAAGACAAGATGTACCCAAGTTTTGTCACAAAGGCTAGTGCAAAGCTCACTTACCGCTCAAGCTTATCTGTTCTCAATCACTTCGTAGCTACGCTGCCTGGACCTGACAGACAAACAATGCTTCAACCCACCTACGTTGTCAGTCCTGAAGTTAATTACGATGCCCTGGATCCGCAGCGGAGAGGTTTTGTTTGCGAGGTAATGCTACCGGAGCACTCACCTGTGATTTCAGTCACTGGTGACATCCAGAGCAAGAAAGCAACTGCAAAGTGCTCCGCCGCATTCAAGGCATGTCTCAAGTTGTACAACAAAGGCTATCTCAGTGAAAATCTACTCCCTACGACCCATAAGAGCTTACCAGCCGGAACAAATGCATTGCTGGCACTCAGTGAGAAGAAGAAAGGCATGTACTCCATGTTGATCAAGCCAGAGTTCTGGAAGATCGGACGTGGCGTTGCCCCTACGTGTCTTTATCTCACCCTCATCGACCTTGATGCGGGTTTGGATCGACCTCATCAACCCATGGGGCTCCTCACTCGCAATCCCCTCCCGCAAATGCCAAATTTCCCCATCTATCTTACTGATTGCAGGCCCTCTAATGTCATCTCCCAGTCCTCTCAAACTCCGCTATATGTGTCAGCAGAGACGATAGACATCCTCACTGGTTTTACTTTGCGCATATATGAGGACGTCTACAACAAGAAATATGAGAATGATGCTAAGAAGATGTCCTATTGGGTTGTGCCGATACTACCTGGCAAGATGTCTTCTCCGCTATCCGTTACCGCCCTCGATCAGATTCTGGATATGGAACAAGTTCACAGAGTCTACAACGAGCCTATGTGGAGATGGACACCAAAGACTATTTCTAAGGACCTATTAGACCGGTACTTCGTGGACCCTATGAATGGAGGCCGACGCTACTACTCAAACCACCTCGCCACACAGCTCAAGCCACAAGATCCGGTTCCCAAACGTCTACCTCGTAGCGGGCACAAATTCATGGACAGCATCTTGGACTATAGTGACAGCAAATGGGCAAAGAGTAGGGATATCTCAAGGTGGAACCAATCACAGCCTGTTCTTGAGGTCGAAAAGATCCCTTTCCGTCGCAATCACCTCGCACGTGTCGAAGAGAAAGAGAAAGGCGAGCTCGACGACCTCAAGACATACATTTGTCCCGAGCCCCTACATGTCTCTAATGTAAGCATCCAGCGATTCAGCATGTATACAGCAAGTTACTGACGAAGTAGCTCGCAACACCATTCGTAGTCGTGTGCTACGTCCTACCAGCTATCATTCATCGATTCGAGAGCTACCTCATTGCTTTAGACTCCTGCAAAACTCTGGATCTCGATATCAGCCCAGCGCTTGCCTTGGAAGCCCTGACCAAAGACTCTGACAATTCCGAAGAGCATGGCGAGGAAAAGATCAACTTCAAGAGCGGGATGGGCCCGAACTATGAGCGGTTAGTGTTGGACTCGCACATGGAGCTACCCACTGACATAACACAGTCTCGAATTTCTAGGAGATTGTTTCCTCAAGATGGCTACGTCCCTCTCGGTATTTGTACAGCAGCCAGACGAGAACGAGTTTGAATTTCACGTCCGCCGTATGGAAATGCTTTGCAACAAGAATCTGATGGAGACTGCAGTGGGTAAGAAGAAAGTAATTTCTGCAGACGGAACTGAGCTGGACATCCAGCTTTACGGGTACATTCGCACCGACTCTTTCTCACGGTATGTATAAAGCTCTCATCAAGCCCCCCTCAAAGGACTAACTCGTGTAGGCGCACATGGTATCCTGAAGGGCTCAAACTTCTCAAGGGTAAAGGACTGAACAAGACCGAAGACGACTGGCTCAAACTCACGCACAATCTCGGGGATAAGAGTATAGCGGATGTTTGTGAGGCCTTTATTGGTGCTGCTTTCCAACAGCATCACAAGGCCGGACGGTGGAACCCCAGGGACTGGGATGAAGCCGTCAAAGCTGTCAAGCTGTTTGCCAACAGTCGGGATCATCTGATGTCAAAGTGGTCGGACTACTATGACGCGTACCAGAAGCCAAAGTATCAGATCGCGGACGCCACCGCGGCAATGCTCGAAACTGCTCGCAAGATTGAACTGAAGCACCCGTACCACTTCAAGTATCCTCGCTTACTCCGATCGGCCTTCGCTCATCCATCGTACCCATACATGTATGAGAACATACCAAACTATCAGCGTCTGGAATTCCTAGGTAATGTCCCCTTCACGAACCGCATGTTCACACACACTGACTCCTTTCTCACCCTCTAGGTGACTCTCTCCTCGACATGGCTTTCATCATGCATCTCTACTACAAATATCCGGACAAGGACCCCCAGTGGCTCACTGAGCACAAGACGCCCATGGTGTCCAACAAGTTCTTAGGCGCCGTGTGTGTCAAGCTGGGCTGGCATGTTCATATCAAACAGAATACTGCTATCCTGAGCTCCCAGATCCGCCAGTACGTCTTGGAGGCCGAGGAAGCAGAGAGGGAAGCAGGTGGTGCTGTCGACTATTGGGTAACCATCAGCGAACCACCCAAGTGTCTGGCTGATGTAATCGAGGCATATACTGCAGCCATCTTCGTAGATGCGGAGTTTGACTTCAGCGTCGTACAGGATTTCTTCGACATGCATCTCAAGCCCTTCTTCGAGGACATGACGCTCGGGACCTATGAGAACTTCGCTTCCAACCATCCAACCACGCGTCTCAGTCGCCTCCTTTCCATCGCCTTTGGCTGCAGCGAGTGGCGCATGGCCGCCATGGAGACGGACACGCTCATCCCTGGTAAAGGCAAGGCCATCGCTGCTATGATCATGATCCACGGGAAGGTCGTCTTCCATACCTTGGGCCAGAGCGGGCGATATGCACGTGTCAGGGCGAGCCATACAGCATTGGAGAAGTTGGATGGGCTTCCACCGTATGAGTTCCGGAAGAGGTATGGTTGTGATTGCGTGTACGAGGGAGAGGGTGAGGGCGAGCAGGATGAATCAGTATTGAAGGCGAAGGCAGAGCGGATGAAGGAAGCTATAGGTCTGAGTATTTAAACCATTGGGGCGAACATGTGATTGGTTGAGACGACTGCTGAGCATTACAGCCTCATATAGGTTGCATGACCAGTGGCTCTGCATGCCCTCTTCTCTGTGGCAGCTGCACGGTACCTACTCATTGAAAAAAGGCATCAAGAATGTTTGAAAACTTTGAGCCAGCAGTCATACTTCTTGCAAGCAGCGTGTGGACATCCAAAACGATTCTGATCAAAACTTAGATCAAAGATAACACCACATTCCGCGTTTGAATTGATGAACGCGAACCAGCCAACACCACCAGGGCACGTATTGCGAAGCACAGCTGGAGGAGACCTTCGCAGTTGGCAGTGTATAAAGGGTATATTCATCCTAACTTTGTACAAGAATAACAGCGTCATTAGTTCCTCCAGTCATTCAAACTCGTACTTCATAAAATCGCAAATAATAACTCCCAGAATGGAAGTGGATCTTTAAGACTTCTTCCACTCCACATCCGTCGCAAACTCCAAATTCGAGCGCATCTAGCCCGACCATACACATGTGTGGACACTACAAAAATAGTGCACATACGAAAACAGCGATCAGAGCTGCGGTACAGCTGGAACCAATTTGCGAGGCGGCTCCTTTCGTCTCCGAGGGCTGTGCAGCGTCCCCGGTTTGGCTCGGGTTGCCGCCGCTGGAGCTTGGAGTGCCACTAGGGCTCGTGTTCTCGCCGCCAGGTGTGTTAGACCCATCGTCCGATACAACATTGAGCGACAAATCATTGATTTGCTGACCGTTGCTGCCGTAGACAGCCTGCTTGACGTTTCGGTCGCCAATGTCCACCAGTGCGCCCTTCTGTGGGTTCTCGATACCATTGTCAATGAGGTCCTGGCACCCAGGGCAGACGGCCGGGATCGTGAAGTTTTTGCTAAAATCTTGCGCGGATATGAGGCTCGCGTCGCACTCGGGGGCTTGGATCTCGGTGGACTGAGGATTGGCTTGCTCAAGAGAGCTGACGTTAAGCTGGTTGAATTGGTTTTGGAGGTTGTCATAGTCCTTGAGAAGCTTGACGGAGCCGTCTTGGTCAATATCGACTAGACCGTAGTTCGCTTCCTCTTGGGAGTACTCGTATACGAGGCCGCCAGAGAGTGCTCGCATCTGGTCTCCGTAAAGTGCTTGAACCTCGTCGAAGTCACGGGGAGTAACACGATTGCAGCCATATTCACTGTAGAAGACAGGAATGGCAGAACTGTTGAACATGGCGACCAAGCTATCGTAGCCGGAAGTCTGGTAGTTGTCGCCATTGCACCAGCTGTAGGAGTTGAGACCAAAGAAGTCAGAGGACGATGCATCCTCGTCGTGTACACACTGCATGTACGCCCAGGTGTCTTGCAGGATCTCGCGGACGTCTGCAGCAGAGTAGCCGACTGGGATGGTGCGGTCGGCGTGGTTCTTGATGTAGTTCTTCATGTCACGCTGAACAGCCTGTATTCTCGTTAGCCTGGAAGACTGGTGAAGGTAGCTAGTCGTCCAAACGTACCCGGATGTACTGTGGGTTAAACTCCGCAGTGGAGAGGTCGTTCATGACCTCGTTTGCAGAGAAGAAACCCAAGGTGTTAGGGAAGCCCTTGAAGTTCTCGACGATACCAAACGCACGGGTAAGGTAATCGCTGTTGTAGGAAGTCCATGGTGCCTCGCGGTTGATGCTCTCTCCTGGCAAGGGCGAGTTGACATCAAGAATCATGTAGATGCCGGCGGCATTGAAGATTGAGGCGCATTTTGAGTGGTCAAGCGAAGGGTCGAGATTGTAGACACGGATCGTGTTCACACCCAGCTTCTGCATAAGGGTAGCATCTCGCAGACAGACATCGGCATTTGTGAGAGCGTCCTCGCTGTTCGAGGGCTGGTACGCTCCTTGACCTCCAGGTTGGTAGTCAACACCAACAATCATCAATCGCTTGTTCGTGACGGTGTCGACAAAGTCCTGTCCGCGGACTTCCACTGGATGGACGGCATACGCAATCGTTGAAAAGAGCGCGGGGAGCAGCGCGACCGCGCGAGTGAACTAGAAAGATGACTTTAGCGTTGTTCCAGGTGCAGGGAACATGGGTTTTATGCTCGAGAGACATGAGACGTACAGAAGGCATTTCAACAAACGACTGTTACGACAACGACCGTAAAACGAGAGACCTGGGAATCTTCGGGCGATTGCAGCGACTGCTGGCAAGCCTTATAATCCTTCGGTTATCTGCTCGTGTTGGTATCGCAATGTTATGCACCAAGACTAGTTGCAGTGGACCTTGGCCGCGGAGGAGCAGCTAAGACGGATCGCTTGCCGGCTGCTGTACTGTGATTCGAGCGTGAAAAACGAACGACATGCATACAGCTAGACCGCTGGGGAAAGATAGGGCCAAAAGTGACAAAAGTGGGCGCAGAGGAAGAGAGGGACAGGGAGCCAGGAAGCAGAGACATGTCTGCTTCCTGTCAATTGCAAGCAGGCAGTGGCTGTTGGACGTGATGCTTTGGGAAGGTGTGCTTACTGCTTCAGCCTATCTCGGTAGTGATTACTTCCACGATAGCAGGAACGGGATGACCTCAAGACGTGCGCCGCTGCCATTGCCAACGCGACCCGCGCAGAAAGCTCTGAAGGCGTCTAATCTAGCGTGCTCCGAGTGGGCCATGAACATGTCCTGGCTTTACCGATGAGCTTGTCTCTTCTTGTTCCAAGGTTCTTGCCCAAAGTAACAGGAACATGTCCCATTTGCGAGCCGTGTTCGACTTTTGGAGTAGGATCATGACGCCATTCTCCAAACAGATGGCAGGGATTGCTGCACCCCAGCCACTTTCTGCATTTGCGCGCCAATCATCGCATCTAAACTCCGATATGCATCTTGGCAATGTTTACTGCACATGCGGGACAGATAAACGTGGCGCGCATAATACTCGAGGACAGCTCGCTACAAGAATGCTGGCAGATCAATCACACATCATCTCTCGCCGTTCAGCGTCAGGCCTCATAATCAACGCAGACTCATTCATGGAAGGATGCGAACATTGGTTCTGTGAATGTCGTTGGCAGAGATAATCTCTGCACTCGGGCTCAACGTCTATTTAGTCCTACAGGTGGACACATGCGGGTCCTCTTAGCCGCATATTTGGTTCCAAGATCCACATGCCTGAGCTTGTCGTGCCCCGGCGGTTGTGGAAGCCGAAGGTATGCATTTTGAGAACGCCATGTGAGCAAGATCATGTTCCGGATACGTCCAGGAGCCTACTCGACCAGCAATAGCTAGGATCAGCCGAAGACGATATCCTGTCGGCCGTTGGGTGCAAGTGGCTTGACGGTTATCTGACTTTTAGGGTTGAGCCTACGACGCTGAAAGCGTTATAGCCGGCTCTCTCGCGCTGCCGCTCATCCTGTCATGTCCACATCCCGTGTCTTTCTCTTCAGCCCGCTCTCACTTTCCTCGATCTGGCCTTGAAATTTGGTTTGGAGCGCTTCTAGCAAGACCTCTTTGACCACCGCGAGACTGCCCACAGCCGCGTGAGTGGCTCCCTCAATCAAAGCATCAGGATCGGAGCCCACATCTCCCTTCATCCATATCTCTGTGATCTCGTCTCTTGAAGCCAGGTAGCCGACTACACATGCAGCGACAACTTCCCTGTGCTCTGCTGGACAGGGGTCGAGTATCCTAGCCAGCTCTTGCTGTTGTGTGGAGCTGGGGTTCCGTGTTATTGCGGCGACACCTCCACACACTACATCCACGCAATCTATGCCGGCGTCTGTTATGGCCGCGCTCGCGACTGTTATGCACCCTGCCAACACATTCAAGAGACCCCATCCGCTTCCAGTTGCGTTTCCTTCACTGGCGGAGTCACCCCACCAGCCGTCCTCGTCACCTTCCAGGATGGTGACCACTACTTCGACTCCGCTCTTAGGCCATCTCTCTCCGATGATGACACCCCGTAGTGCAGTCTCCAGGTGAACACCCAAATCGCGCTCTGCCGAATCCCGAATATAGCCTCGTCTTTGACGTGTTGCGAACGGGGCGAACTTGACCGTGGTCGTGAGAAGGAGCGATGGACTGAATGGCGCGCTGCGGGGGAGAGGCTTTGGGCCTTGGATAGAAGCAGTGATCTTGAGTGACGAAGTCGGTGGGATGAGTGTCGATTTGGTCGTAGGGGAGGACGAAGGTATCTCAAGGTAGGCAGAGCCCGATGCGGAAGGTATAATGGATGTTTGGAGAACTGTTGTAATGCTTAGAAATGGAACGTACAAGGATGGTATACCAAACGACAGGAAGTGCGCAAATCTCTCGGAGAAGCTCAAAATACCCTGAGTACGCGTAAACAGAGACTATGAAGCTGTTTGGGCACTTACAGATCCTGCGAAGCTCATTCGCGCCTCTTGACCTTGTCGGTCTCAACTTCTCCAGATACTGCGGTTCTCTAATCGTTCGCGCAAACACAGACGCACTAGTTCCACCACTAGGCGCATTGTTTCGTCTTCTGTCAGCGTTCATCGTGCTTGTATCTGCGTCGTGTTGAACGCGCTGTACTTGCGGATGATTTCATGGTGTTCAGAAAAGTGGATGACTAAGCACGGACCCGCCAAGATTTCGGGACCCTCAAGTTCAATTTTCCTGCGCGTCTGGTTCAACTTTCTTTCCTTACCTCACACCCGCGCTCAAGGTACGTTAACACACTCCCACCCAATCCTCTCCCTTTCATTGATGATACCCTTGAAAAAGTTCTTGCGATCTCAGATGAGCTATGAACACATGCACCACCCTCTGATCTCACACTTGAAGCTTCTGCTTTTGCACAAGACTTTGCGACTGTAGCTAACCTCAGTCTAGATACAGCTCAGGATCGAAGCGTATCGCGCGAGAGGACTGCTCTCCTCAGCGGCCTAAGCATCTCATTGTTGAGGCGGCCGCAAGGTGTGAGCACATGGGCGTACGATGTAGCCGCCAGCATGCCTCCCAACACCACATCTGTCGCTAACCTGCAGCGTCTCGAAGCACATACTGATCAATGGTAAGTCCTCATCTTTTTCTCTGTACATGCCTTATATGATGATCGTATTATTTCAGTTCTGCTACTGAATCTCTTTGAAGAAAATTTATACCGCTTACCTTTGTCTGATATAACTCTGCACTCTCAGCTCTTCACTTCAATCGTTGAAGAACACTGCTGACATTGCAACCAGATACCCATCCCAGCCGCTCGCTCTGCATGCCTGCATATGGTAAGCACCCCGACTCCCAACCCGTTCGCAAGGAGGAAAACTAGTCTATCCATTCAACGACATCTGTCGCCGGGTCACCCTCCCGCACCCTACCAGTCTCGGCTGGAATGACGGGTTGTGGAGTTGCACTGTTGGCTTGTCCAACGCCGCGTGATTGTGGTCTTTGAGCCAAAAGTCGTAGCAATCCGTCTTGGGCTGCTGCGACCTGAGGCCAGGCGATGGGGGATGATTTAACACGGCTGTCTGAGCGCAACATCTGTTTAAAACATGACGATATGGCTGTTTGAACATTGCTAACAGCACCCAGATTGTTACGAAGGACATGTATTCGTGTAGTCCGCATTCTGTTTAGATCATGGTAGATAGGAATCTCTAAATATATTCACCCAATTTTTCAGTCATGACACCTTGTGCACGTGCAGTCGTTTGCAACCCGCTGAAGTACTGTCTATACTGGGTGTCCCTTTGGTAGTGGAACAACGCGTATGCAATATGGAGAATACGAATGTCTAAACTTACTTCCGTTGAGGTACTGATTCGATTCGCTGCTTGGGCGGAGATAGCTACTCCTGCACATCATTGCTATACCAGTCTGAAACGGCCATACTACGTGGCTTGGCTTAGCCTCACACCTCGTGAACCTTGCAAAGTGTCAGCACTCGAACGACAACCATCGTGCATCTCGTCAGCCTCGCGCGTCGAGTCGATTGATTCGGCCATATCCGTTGCAGACGCCACTTAGCCATCAGCATCCCCGTCTGGACGTCACCGTGGCCTTAGCGAACAAATCCTTGGCCAAGCCCTACAACGGAGGTTACCAGAGACGCGCAGCACCCCCGAACGCACGCGATCCGCCATCTAAACGCCTGTATCGGATCATCCTACGTCGCAATTACTCTCGGGAGCGGCAATTCATCTTACTCGGACGCAGCAAGGACTGGGAGGCAGTACTTTGTTCAACGACTTGGTGATCTGGCGGGTCTTCGGTGACCGGGGGTCTCCAAGGGAGCAATTGACATCTGGCGCCCAACTCTCTGAATGTTGCCTTTACATTCATCGTCGAAAGGGAAGATGCACCGCCATGCCTTTTCCAACGGGGCGTATCCCTCGCAAGGAGGGGGTACCTTCTCCATCCAACCTCACAAGTACGTTCACCACCTACGACCCATGGCGCAACTATCGCGCAGCATCTCAACCCGCGTCTCCGTTACGACTACGACTCAAACAATCGTGTTGCTAACCTCTAGTGCACCTCTAGATTCCAGCCGCGATCACAGCCTGCGCTCAGGCGGCGGAGAACACTGATACAGCGCTTGCTGCTTGTCGGTTCGCTGTTCTTTACCGCCCTATTCTTCTTCTTCCCTGACCTGCGACCAAACCTGGGTTCCGGACCCCTCAGCTTGATCTCCTCGAACGACGATGCGCAGCTTGAGACCGTGCGATACTACGATTTGAACAACGTGCAAGGAACGGCGAGGGGATGGGAAAGGGAGGAGCGCATTCTGTTGTGCGCTCCTTTGCGAGACGCGGCTCCGCATCTGCCCATGTTCTTTGGCCATTTGCAGAACCTCACATACCCCCACAACCTCATCGATTTGGCTTTCCTCGTTGGAGATTCCAAGGATAACACCATCTCACTCTTGACGGAGAAGTTGGAGGAGCTACAGGCCAATCCCGACCCCAAGCAGCAGTTTGGCGAGATCTCGATCATGGAGAAGGATTTTGGACAAAAGGTTAACCAAGATGTTGAGAGTCGACACGGTTTCGCCGCACAGGCTGGCCGCCGAAAGTCAATGGCACAAGCGCGAAACTGGCTGCTAAGCGCTGCTCTGCGGCCAACACACAGCTGGGTATACTGGAGAGATGTGGACGTGGAGACTGCTCCGTTCACTATTCTGGAAGATCTCATGCGACACAACAAGGATGTCATCGTCCCAAGTATGTACAATGATACATGACGAAAATATAAATTGCTGACCTGTCACTCAGATGTCTGGCGACCACTTCCGGACTGGCTTGGCGGCGAACAGCCATACGACCTGAACTCCTGGCAAGAATCTGAGACTGCCCTCGCCCTCGCCGACACTCTCGACGAGGATGCAGTCATTGTAGAAGGTTACGCAGAGTACGCCACTTGGCGCCCGCATTTGGCCTACCTCCGCGACCCCTACGGTGACCCAGACATGGAGATGGAAATTGATGGTGTTGGTGGTGTTAGCATTCTTGCGAAAGCCAAGGTTTTCCGCTCTGGTGTCCACTTCCCTGCATTCAGTTTTGAGAAGCACGCTGAGACAGAAGGATTCGGCAAGGTAAGCTACGACGTTCGTACCTTGCTGCAGCGCTAACATATTGCAGATGGCCAAGCGCATGAAGTTTTCCGTGGTCGGTCTTCCCCACTACACTATCTGGCATCTTTACGAACCCAGTGTCGACGACATCCGACACATGGAGGAAATGGAGAAGGAGCGCAAGGCCAAGGAGGCTGAGGAAGAAGCGAAGAAGGCCAAGGAGGCTAAGATCAAGGACAATTTTGATGAAAAGAAGAGCGACTGGGAGAAAGAGAAGGCAGCCGTCCAAGACATGGTTCAGCAAGCAAAGAACGAGGAAAAGGCGGCCGCTGAGAAGAAGAAGCAACAAGAAGCGGCAGCAAAAGAGGAGCCGCCCAAGGCAGACACCAAGGAGGAGAAGCCAGCTGATAAGAAGGAGGGCGATCAATCATAGTTGTCGCAGTATTCCAGTAATTTCAAGGGTGTGAGACCTAGGTCCGCGCCTGTTTGCAACCCTATAGTGGAACGAAGCACTACAGCAACGACAGTAACGACTTGGGCAGACTGGGCGCAGATCTGGACCTTTACTTCTTTCGATCCACTGTGTGCTTTGTGTTGGAGCCTAAAGACTTGAGGCAGCAACGTTTCGCCGAGCCGGTCTCCGAAGGTGGCATTGGAAGCGTGTCTTTTCCTGCTTGGAGGGCGTTTGAAGACTATTTGGAGGAATGTATACATTAGATAGCAGCTTTGCATCAGGGGCGTTGTAGGCTCGACAGTAGATGAGCATTGCGTTTGTGTGTAACAACATCGAGAAACATTACAGAATTCCTACCAAGATCGTGACTATGGCCTGCCGTGTGTTTCGTCATGGACGTGTGACGCTGGCTGGACCCCTGGCCTCAGCACCTCCGAAACTCCGCTAGAGCTAAGCCGCCAAATGTTCGAATGGTACAAACGACGTCTCTATCCGCCGTGCAGTACTTGAGGACAGATATTCGAGGTAATCGCTTCTTCTGCATCTCGCAAATTTGGGTTCTGTCTTCATCACTAGGCGGCAGCAATTGGAAGCATGCGTGTCATCTTTCAAGTCGACTGAACTAGACATATAGCTGTCCATGTGCCCTCCACCTTGAAGACACCCTGTCGCGCACCACATTCCTGTCGCATACACTTCCATACCCCGAATCCTTCAGCACCATGTCGAGCACAGATGGCGACGACCACGTCGCGTCCACACTTCAAGAGACAATTGTGGACCTGGATCCACGGCCCATTACCGTCGCAGTCAACCCAGTAGCTCTGGTGGTCACAGAATGCATTACCGTCACGTCGGCGATGCGAAAGCATGCCCGCTGGGCGCACTCTTCAGTCGCAGCTATACTGGGCAGCTCCTCGAACAAGACGCCAGCCGTCCAACGACGCGACCGCACAGGACAAGGCATCATAAGCGCAGGAGAGCAAGAGGAAGCCGTACCGAGCAGATGGGGCCTACGCGGGAAGAAGGGCAAGAGCATGCAGGACAACCCCCTCATGTCTGCATTTGCGCGCCTGAGGAATGATCTGAAGGGCTGCAAAGGTGAAGATGGCAGTCCGGACAGAACACAAGCCAAGCTAATGCGACACCAGATATCCGGACCTTCGATACCCCCTCTATGCTCCATCCCTTTCTGCAGGTCATCCGATCTTCATCCACCTCCGCGCCCATAACCTCGCTTGCCCTCATTGCGATCACCAAGTTCCTGTCGTACGGCATAATTGGCCATGACTCTCCACGTCTACCAGAAGCTATGCAACAGCTCTCCTCTGCCATCACCCACTGCCGATTCGAGGCCAGCGATTCGGCCGCCGACGAGATTGTGCTCCTTCGCATACTCAGGCTTATGGAGGTCATGATATCAGGTCGAGGCGGAGAAGTACTGGGCGACGAAAGTGTGTGCGAGATGATGGAGACAGGCTTGAGCATGTGCTGCCAAGCGAGACTATCGGAGCTGCTGCGACGCTCGGCGGAGATTGCCATGGTCTCCATGTGTCAAGTCATATTTCGGAGACTGAAAACGCTGGAGATCGAATCGCCAGATGAACTTGACGCCATGGACGAGGAGCTGGAAGGACAGGACGACCAAGAGGGCCTGAGAATGGATCCAACAGCAAATGGCGAGGGAGACTCTGCACAGCACAAGGTTGAAGCCCTCCAGCAGCCAATTGACCCAGAAAAAGGCCATGAGGACAATGACAGTGCCGGAAACCCAGCGAGCAGTACCCTAGATCTCCCAGCAACGGCCGAGGATGGCCAGCCGCAAGCCCCCCTCGAGATCAAGCCTTATTCGTTGCCTTCCATAAGAGAGCTTTTCAGAGTTCTGGTCGATCTATTGGATCCGCATGATCGTCAACACACTGACACGATGCGCGTCATGGCGTTGCGCATCGTGGACGTCGCTCTCGAAGTCGCTGGACCGTCGATAGCGAGTCATCCCAGTCTGGCGAATCTGGCCAAGGACACTTTGTGCAGGCACATTTTCCAGCTCGTCAGGTCAGACAACATGGCCATATTGAACGAATCTTTGAGAGTCGCAGGTACGTTGCTGGCGACATGCAGAAACGTCCTCAAGCTGCAGCAAGAGCTCTACCTCTCATACCTGGTCGCTTGTCTTTTTCCACGGGTGGAGATACCAGTCGAGCCCGGCATTGAGCCTTCATTATATGAAGGTGTCCCGCATGCGCCCAGCCTCATCAAGCAGCCACCACAGCAGAATAGCAGCTCTAGTGGCCGTTCAACTCCAGTACCTGTCAAAGATCGCCAGAAGCTAGGACTAGAAGGAGGTGCACGAAAGCCAGATGCCCGAGAAGCCATGATAGAAAACCTAGGTGGCTTGGTCCGGATTCCTTCCTACATGGCTGAACTCTTCGTCAACTATGACTGTGAAATTGACCGTGGGGACGTCTGTATGGACATAGTTGGACTCCTCTCAAGAAACGCTTTTCCAGACTCTGCGACATGGAGCACCGTTAATGTACCTCCGCTATGTCTGGACGCTCTTCTCGGTTTTGTGCAGTCGATGGCAGATCGCCTGGACGATGAACCGGTAACAGAAGGCTATCCTAGTGCCGAGTCGCTGCGCAAGCAGCGAGCACTTAAGGCTGTCATCATCCGTGGTGCAACCAAGTTTAATGAGAAGCCCAAGGCTGGCATCGCCTATCTTGCATCTCAAGGCATCATTCGAGACCCTGACGATCCTCAATGTATCGCTGAGTTCGTCAAGGGTACTACAAGAGTTGACAAGAAGGTACTGGGAGAGTTTATATCCAAGAAAGGAAACGAGGCGGTATTGAGTGCTTTCATCGATTTGTTCGATTTCACAGGACAGCGAATTGATGAAGCTCTTCGACAGCTCCTACACGCGTTCCGTCTCCCTGGTGAATCAGCCTTGATCGAGCGAATTCTGTCCGAGTTCTCCGAGAAATATTTCAAAATGGCGAAGCCAGAAGGCATTGCCAACCACGATGCTATTTACATCCTCACCTACGCTGTCATCATGTTGAACACTGATCAGCATAATCCCAACATGAAGCAAAAGCGAATGCAGTTTGAAGACTTCCGAAAGAACGTCCGCGGCGTCAACGACGGCAAGGACTTTGACCCTGAGTTCTTGCAGGGAATCTATGAATCCATCAAGAACCGGGAGATCATATTACCGGAAGAGCATAGTGACCGAAATGCATATGACCACGCGTGGAAGGAGTTATTGGTCAAGTGTCAGTCGACCTCGGATATCGTCATCTGCGATACCAACATTTTCGACGCGGACATGTTTGCTGCAACATGGAAGCCAATCATCGCGACATTGTCTTACGTCTTCATGTCCGCCACTGACGATGCTGTCTTCTCACGCGTTGTTCAGGGCTTCGACCAGTGCGCGCAGATTGCTGCCAAGTACGAACTGACTGATGCTCTCGACCGTATCATTTCGTGTTTGTCATACATCAGCACACTCGCTCCCGATGTCCCACCAAGCACTTCACTCAATACGGAAGTCCAAGCCGATAAAAAGAGCGTCATGGTCAGCGAGACTGCTGTGCGATTCGGCCGTGACGGCAGGGCGCAACTGGCAACGGTGGTTTTGTTCCAGGTCATTAAGGGTAATGAGGCATCGATAAGAGATGGATGGCAACATGTAAGACTGTCAACCCTTTTTCAGCATATCGCTAACACTCTTAGCTCATTCGCATCATGGTGAATCTATTCGTCAACTCGCTGATACCCCCATACTTCCTCTCCTTTCAGAAGACGCTTGCTCTAGCACCGATACCACTCCAGAATCCTGCGCAAGTGATTGACCGCGCAGAGCGTCCGGCGGATACTGGCATCTTCTCGGCACTGACATCCTACGTCTCGAGCTTCGCCAACGACGAGCCTCCGGAGCCATCAGACCAAGAGATCAAATACACGCTGTGCACCGTGGATACTGTCAAGGAGTGTCATTTTGAAGATATTCTTGCAAACATCAGCCAACTACCTGTGGAGTCTCTGCGATCGCTTCTGGCCTCACTACTTGAGCATCTCCCCGAAGATGGCTCGCCCAGGGTTATCGTTGTGAAGCCTGAGATACCTGGCGCAAGTCCGCGGACGACTGGCCCGAAGCAGAAGGGTAAAGGCCCGCTCTACGACCCAAGCCTTGTCTTTGTGCTCGAACTAGCCACCGTTCTAGCTCTCAGAGACGAAGAGACGGTCAGGGAGCTCGCCAAGGATGTGACAGATGCTTTGACGTCTGTCATTCGAGACGCTCCTAAACACCATTATGTGGTCATTGCGCGATCGGTGTACTATCTGCTAAGCCTTTTGAAAGCTAGCAATGTAAGTCTCGATGCCTCCCCATGTGATTTATATACTGATGGAATTAGGACTACGATTTCATCCGTGCCCCAGTCCTCATGCACACATTCTCAAGCTTCAACGATGCTCTCCTGCATGAGTGCGCTCAGCCAATCTTGAAGGGACTGACAGACTGCTGCAAAGGCCCCAATGCCCTTCGTAGTGAACTTGCAGGCTCACCAGACTTCTGGACCATTCTCAACAGGCTTGCAAGCGTGCCTGATGCTGCTGGGGACGTTTTCCAGCTTGTCGAAGATCTTACCACTTCGCCTCAACCCGGCATCACTGCTGACAATTACGAAGCTGCGATTGCGCTTCTCAACGAGTTCGCAACTGCAGCCCAAGTAGGTGCTCGAGAAGAGCAGCTACATGACCAGGCTGCACGACGCAACAAGGGACAGAAGCCCAAGAAGCTTGAGAATAGTGAGATAGTTGTACGCGGCAGCACCGCTATGAGCATCGTCTTCCAGCTTTCCAGCAGAGTGCCGAATTTCATCGAGCAGTCTCACCTCGAAACGACTGAAGGTAGAAGGAATGCACATCTCGCTCAGCTTCGAAATGCTAACATACTTCCAGCATGGACG